AGAGAGAGAGAGAGAGAGAGAGAGAGAGAGAGACCTTCTCTTTGTTATCATCGGAGAAGAAGTTCTTGACGTAAAGATGAGACAACGCTATACTCATAGCTGTTTTGGTATTTTTGAGACACATCTCCCATCGCGGTTGACGACTCTTCGTGCCATAAATGGCGAATTCAAACTCCTCTTTCAATTGAAACCAAGAGTCCGATAGAGTGGACAGTTCTGTCTGTACGACACGCCATAGCATATAATTCACTAAAAACCTGTTAAACATATTGAAAATAACGGTAACAAATCATACTTTACACGTATTATATTGTAAATTTACCTGTTATCCATCTCAACAATCTTGGTGTTCAAAAACTCGATATATGGTGTGTCAAACAGCACTATCACCTCATTGTCGGTGATGTCTTCGGATACGTATTTGCGGATTATTCGCAACCAATCAATCTGTTTATTAATATCCAAACAAATATAAGCGAGAAGTTATTTAACAGAATATTCTATGCAATTAAATAAGTCAATGGATTAGTACATACATTAGGAGCCAATTGTGACAACTCTTTGATCGTAACTTTATTGTAAATGGCCGTAAGATTACGTCTCTCCTCTTTAGCCATTGATCGCTAAAACAATACATTTTATTAATTAATCATTTCTTAACACACAATCATCTGTTAATACATTAGCCAAAAGTGTCTCAAAACTAAGCAATTCTTCCACAATTGACGACACAATGGTTTCATTAGCGCCCAGTTTTATCATCGCCCGAGACATTAGCTTTTTATAGGCCTTAACTTCGGTAGCTTCGGGTCCTTTAAGAAGTATATCACGACTTCCCAAACCAAACGACGGGTGATCTATCTGTTGGACAGACAGTCGTCTTAGTATTGGTTTATGAATGTCCGCCACTTCTACGGATCACTTACTGATAGTATTCGTTGAGAATTGTTCTTAAAGTCCGGAGATATGGCGAGAGAGAAGAACATACTCGAGACGGCGCCGTTCTCGCGGAACCGCAGGTATAGTTCCGTCCAATTTATGGCCACCCATTGGTCCCCATCAACGACAGGCCATCCGCCAAATATGGTCAATAAGTTAACCAATGGTTTGTCACCCAATTCCTCAAGAATAGCTGTAAGTATTAATCAATATTATATTTTAAAGAGAGAGAGAGAGAGAGAGAGAGAGAGAAGAGAGAGAGACTAACATGTATTAAAACAACTGTCGAAATAGTTTTTGGCATTTTTGATGAATTCTCGTTTCTCTGTCTCGACATTAGTGTTGACAATGAGATCTAATATAAAGTAAAATTTTAAAAATGAACAAAAAATAACCAAAACATGTAAATTAGCCAATCATTGCCTTTAAGCTTATCGTTGAGATCGTCCTGTAAATCGCTAAACCTATTAACAATGGACTTGTGTTGAGGCAATTGTTTGCCGGCAATCCATTTGCCACAAGAATACTGAAAAAAGTCATCACAAGGAGAGACGCTATCATCGATAGTGTCCAACAGTTTGGCGGCTGTAATACAAATAAATAGAATAGTGTTATTACATCTCAATGATAATGATTAGCATAATTGTTAATTAGAGTTACCTTCGAGAACACAGGTTCGCGTTAAACACACATTATTTGGACGATTGTTAGTATTAATACTATTTACAGAATTATTATCTAAAACACTATAAGAATACAGATTCCCATTGTTTACACTGTTTATAACGTTAGCACTAATCGCACATAAATTGACTGCCAAACAGACAATCGCCGTTAACTTCATGGTTAACATTAATGATTGAATTGATTGAAAGTAAACTAAATTTTATTTTCAATTTTGTTTTATTTTATTAGTTTCTTCGCTTGTGTTGTGAGAAAAAGCGGAAAACTATTAAAACTTGGATTTATATTATGATTATATTTGAGAAACTATACGGAAATATTTGGATTGAAAGGCAAAGTACTCTAAGGTTAAGACCGGACAGGATTTTCTTGTAATCTCTAAACGAGACTTTTAAAAATGTTTGCAAATATACTTAGCGTTTAAGGAAAGGACACTTTTATCACTTGTTGTTACTCTCGGATGACTCCGGGATGACAGACAAAACTTGTTTTACAAAAACAGAGAGAGAGAGAACTGTTTTAGAGAGAGAACTGTTTTAGAGAGAGAGAGAGAGAGAAAGATTTCATACTTAGGTCTGTCCTTATCATAGAAGACTCCCTGAAGAATACCTGCGGGAATGACAACCATATTCTTAACGGTATTGTAGAACGCATTGGCCATTGTTAGTGAGCCAACCTTTGCCCAACTAAAAGACATTTAGTTATTTTATTTAATAATAATTAAAAATAATTATCATTTACTCATTAATATCGTTGAGTTTATTAAGCGATTGAAACGACAAATTCTGTTTCCATTGAGTTATTGTCAATATATTGCCGAAAAAGTCCGAAGCGTTTAGAGATAACTGAATTAAAAAATTAAGTAAACATTTTTAGTCGCTGTAGACATTGATTTTTAAATTATTATAAATTAGTAAAAGTACTTACGCCACTATAAATGCTATCAACAGCAGTGCTATTTAAAATATCATCAGGGTAACCGACAACAATTCGCATCCTGGCCAGTTTATCCAACGCCCGCTCCAGTGTCTGATTGTCCAACCAATCCATTTCCGTTAGCGTGTGTTTAAACTCTAATCTCACACTTTCTATCAGTTCCGATGCCTTAAGATTTTAAAACAACAATTTTTATAATTATTTACATTAATAAAAATGATTTAAAAACAAAATTAAAATCACCTTTTGTTTAATCTGAGGCCTAAAATAATGCCTGACATAGAGATGCGATACGAGTAATGTCATGGCGTTGTCCACCGCTTTAACNCTCTACAAAGAGAAGACCAATTGTTTTATACAACAGTACAGCAATTTCAGTGTCAAAGAAGTGGCGCAAACACTGAACGGCATTAACACTCAGGGAGAGAATATCGCCGATAACGGCGGTGTCATTCAGTCTTACCGGTAAATTACTGACCACTAAATTATCGATACTATTACTAACGTTTGTGTCTTAATATTTTCAGGGCTTACCAGAAGTATGTGCTCGAGAACGGAGCGGAACCCCAGCTGCCGGCCATTGACTTATCTCCCGAGCAATTGTTTTGGGTCAGTTCAGCCGTACAGTATTGCTCAAAAGCGACCAAACAGTATTTGACACTTCAGGTGGTGACCGATAGTCACAGTCCCAGTAGACAAAGGTTTGCATTGCCCGGCGTTACCACACTTTTTTACATTCTTTGCCTATTATTCAATGTTAATGTTTATATAAATATAATTATTATAGAGTGAATGGTGTCGTCTCTAATTCGGATGAGTTTTCCAAAGTATTCAACTGTCCGTCCGGTGCGCCCATGAATCCGGTCAACAAGTGTGTCATTTGGTAAACACTTTTGGCGTGTTTAATTATTATAGAGTGAATGGTGTCGTCTCTAATTCGGATGAGTTTTCCAAAGTATTCAACTGTCCGTCCGGTGCGCCCATGAATCCGGTCAACAAGTGTGTCATTTGGTAAACACTTTTGGCGTGTTTTTAAATCATACAGTAATAATTTATTAAATAACTATGTATTTCTGTTATAAATACATGTTTTAATATTTAATAACTATATTTAAATTGATTTTTTTGCAATAAAAATTTAGTTAAATAATTAATAAGTACTGATTTGATTGTAATTTTATAACAGGTAATATTTGTCCAACTATTATTTTTAAATGTTTACGTTCCTGTGTTTTAATTAGTTTTAGAAAACTTAAAAACCAATTTAAATTTATTTGAAAGTACTAAACATAGTTTTTCAAAATCAACTCTCTCTCTCTCTCTCTCTCTCTCTCAGTATTAAACGAGTTATTATTAATTGAATTAATTATTTCCTACTTTTACTGATAGGCGTTAGAAATGTTTGGAAATGTTGTGAAAGAGTTTAAGCGAAGTCTTATCGCAAATAAATGGATGGGAAACGAGACACTCGTTCACGCGTTACAAAAGTTGGACAAAATGCGACTTCTTGTGGGTTACCCTGATGAACTGCTCAATGAAACCTATATTACCGACTATTATCGTACCGTATGCTCACGTTTAAGCTAAAAACATCGGCAATTGAAATGTTTTAACCATGTTTTCATCTAGTTGTGGACTAATGCTACCGATTATTTTGGTAATAACGTGCGGCTAAGCAAATGGTATTTGGATTTAGGCTTTGGTAAACTTAGACTACCAGTGGATCAATACGAGTAATACATTTATTTATTAATTATGAATTAAATGTTTAATATTAATAAATTGATGGCCAATAGTTGGAAAGAGTTGAGTGGTGTGGCTGTGGTCAACGCCTACTACCATCAGCTCAAGAATTTGGTGGTAATGCCTGCGGGTATTCTTCAGGGAGTCTTCTTCAACAAAGATCGTCCAAAGTATGCGCAAAATAAGTGCTATTTTAATATGTGATAACATTATTAATGAATACATATTTAAAAAACACAGTTATCTAAACTACGGGTCCATAGCGTATGTGTCGGGCCACGAGATTATCCACGGTTTCGATGACGGCGGCCGTCAGTACGACTCGAGCGGTAATTTGCGGAACTGGTGGGACAGTCAGACCGACGCCCTCTACAAAGAGAAGACCAATTGTTTTATACAACAGTACAGCAATTTCAGTGTCAAAGAAGTGGCGCAAACACTGAACGGCATTAACACTCAGGGAGAGAATATCGCCGATAACGGCGGTGTCATTCAGTCTTACCGGTAAATTACTGACCACTAAATTATCGATA